ACAACAGAAATACTGCGTCATAGCATAATACCGTGTCATGACATAATACCGTGTCATGACATAATACCGTGTCATGACATAATAGCGTGTCATGACATAATACCGTGTCATGACATAATACCGTGTCATGGCATAATACCGTGTCATGGCACAATACCGTGTCATGGTATAATACTGTGTCATGACATAATACCGTTTCATGACATAATACCGTGTCATGGCATAATACCGTGTCATGGCATAATACCGTGTCATGGCATAATACCGTGTCATGGCATAATATCGTGTCATGACATAATACCGTGTCATGACACAATACCGTGTCATGACATAATACCGTGTCATGACATAATACTGTGTCATGACATAATATCGTGTCATGGCATGGAACAAAACACTTGTTGAAGCAACAATCTGGTATGCTGATGAGTACCATTTTTGTTTTTAATTTGAGGAAAAGGAAACATAATTATAGTATTCCCAGCTGGGCCCCCTTCCGAAGAAAGGAATGATCGGTGTATTAACATCAACTGAAAGTCATTGGCCTACTATATTTACACTCTACTGGAATGGAGCAATAAATCTTGAGAGAAAAGAGAAACATGTGTTTCCAGTTGCCAAAGATATCATAGATGTATAGATTGATTCTCTATTCCGCTTTCGTGGTTGTTCACTCCAGAACGTCAAAGGTGTGGGACCAGTGCGAGACAGAAGCGTCGGCCGACAAAAGCGATCGGCCAAATAAAGAACTTTAGCCTTTTGCAGCAAAACTGTCTCAAAACTGAAAAAAACGAAGGACGTCATGATCTGGAGAATATTTTAAAGAATCTTTTGACGAAAACCGCATGTCAATCGATGCAGTCATTAAAAAGCCTTTTGAATAGCAAAATTCGGCGACCACAAATAAATTTAGATACAACATGAGTGCTTCGTGATTATCAGTTTTGGCGACATTTGAACTTTCAACATGTACACACACAAACTACAACACGTACACACACAAACTACAACACGTACACACACAAACTACAACACGTACACACACAAACTACAACACGTA